CCAACAATTGTATTGGCAAACGCAGACTGTATAAATAATTACAGGACAATGCTAAGGCCAAAAAAATAATACATGTGTTTCCGCTAACGTGCTGAAAAAAATAGGGTAGGTAGGTGGGCAATATCATTTAATTTTACAAACATTTTTTAGTTGGTTACTACTACGGAATCAGTCTGACTTTAACAGTGCTTGTTCCAAAATGGCATAAAAAGTGTTAGGGTAGGCACTAAAAATTAGGGTAGGTAGGGTTAGCGGAAACACATGTATTATTTTTTTTTTGGCCTAACTGGAATCAATGTAGGCCTATTCTTGATTTTCATTAATATTTTCCACGTTACGTAAAAGAAACTTTTAGGCATAATGAAGAATCTATCATAGTTATTCGTGTTATAATCATATGTAGCATAAAAGTATTTATCTTACCTCCTATACATTTCTACGAATATGATTGGTTAAAAGCAACCACGTGGAGACCGTGTATATTTCATATGGTGTTAGTAGGCGAGGCTTCTATTTCAATACACGGATAGTAGTGGTGTTACGTCTCTTTATAAAAACAACACGGTGTTGAGGAAAAATCTGAAAGGTTTCAACAGACGAAGAAACTGATGATGAACGATTGAAATAAATTCATAAAACACATTTAAAGCTAACAAGTTGTTATTGTTGGCATGTGTTTTGTATAGACCAATTGAAGTAGGTTCTTAATACCAATTAACCCTCTTAGTGCGGAGACAAATTCCATAACACTGTCCAGAAACGGCCGGGTCAATTTCAGTACAAATTAACATAAACAGTATATTGTTATTCAATCTTGTATAGCAGCATGTTATCTTGCTTAATTGAAGATTTACTCAGATGTAAAGCCAAGATGTTTATTTTTTCAAAAAAAATAACGTTATTTATATGACACATCACATCACGTCATAATGGTGTTCACGTCACGTCCTAATGAAGTTTCGCGCTTTTCAATTAGCTAACGTCAAGCACTTTGCTGTGCTTGGAAGAAATCGTTCTGTTTTTTTGCAACACAGCACTATATTTTACGAAATTTCAAGTCAGTTTTACATATGTTCAGTGGATTATTTCAAATCAAATCAAATATTTTATTAGATAAAGCACTATATAAATAATAAATATGATATTGCGTAATCCAAGTGTACAACATACATGACATTTATACAACATGACAAATAATGTAAATTAAACATAATGCATAACAAGAGAAAATTAATGATATGCTGTATACATGTATATATATTTCTACAAGTGTATTTTTGTTAAGTATACTTCCATAACATATGGTAGACCAACTGATACTAAGCATTGTTATGAACTTTTTAGTGAAACCTGATTATAACCTATACAATAAATATTTCTTTTGTTTTAATTGTTTGAATTGCGTTTTCCATGTAGAAGCACCTGTATTTTCATAGCACGCTTATATTAAAATCTGAACAGAAAAAATAATATCATTATTGTTTAGGGACCAGCTGAATCACGCCTCCGGGTGCGGGATTTTCTCGCTGCGTTGAAGACCTATTGGTGGCCTTGGGCTGTTTTCTGATCTTTGGTACATCTATGAGGCATTATCAAGTGATAGATCTGATTTAATCAGAAAAAGGGTCAAAACATACACAAAGGAAATTCCTTAAATTTAGTATTGGCAACGAAATTCAATCTATGCATTCACAAATTTAAACTATGCATCACTAAACATTGGGATCTACTCAAACATGATGAGGTTGGCAAAGAAATATTCTCGGTCAAACCAATATATATATATATATATAATAGCTAATAAAAAGCATGAAAGTATAGCCGATTTATTAACATTGACAAAATTGAAATAATATTATAGGTGAATCCCTGAGGATGGCGTGCTTACAATGCTTAAACCTATTCATAAATGTAATACATTTATCTTGAGTATTTAATACAAAAACCACCGAAACACTTAATTAGGGAAGGATTGATGTAGGCTATTAAAGGTCTAGTAATACTAGTATCTTTTTTATCATTATATTGTAATTTAATAACAATTAAACACTATGTATATGGAATCTCCCGAATAATATTTGTTTGCATTCGGGATTTAGATAGATGTTGGAATGCGTTGATGTTAGGTGTCACTTATACACAAAGCAAAAACAATAGATTTATCCATACGAAAAAAAAAGAATCACTATCGATTTTAAAATCTGAACTGAAAAAAATGTCGGATTTAAAGAATGTATATATATATATATATATATATATATAAACTTTCTCTCTATAGCATGCACTATAATCATGATAATGTGTTTATTGTCTATCTTCTAATACCGAATTTGTTTGCGGCATTGTAATAGTGATGTTGGTTTATTGGTTGCAATAATGAAAACTTTTTTGTGTGTGTTTTTTTAAGAAAATTTAAATAGCATGTATAGTCAGGAGTGAAACAATGTATAAAACTGTATATTAACTGTAAAATGATTTTAAAAAAGGTCAGTTGTACAATTCTATAGACTTTGAAGGCAACTTTTCACATTTTTATGTCAGCATTATCTCGAGAGGTCAATCCTTGATACGCTCGTCTGAAAAAATGATAGGTACATATCTACAAGTGATTTTCTTCTAAATAATAACTTTAAATATGTTAAGAAAATCAAAACGCTAATGAACAATATTGACGAGTGAAAACATTGTCTGTCCTCTGAGATATCAAGCAAATCAAACACACCCTTTTACCTGCATGCTTTCTAGTTACCGTAATAAAACCCCTTCTTAGCTGTATTATCTTTTCATACCTGTATTCCTGTATATAGGTGTTGTAACCTGTGGATGGGTTTCGCCATTAGCTATTTATTTATGGTTTGTCTTTTCTATTTCTTAGTTTAAGTCTTAGTTTTAAGGTTCGGTTCTAATATTTTCGATAATAACATTCTTGATTACTTTTGTTTAATAGTATATTTATACTATTTGTAACTATCATTGTACATATATATATTTACAGAATAAATATTAGAGGGCTCTTACGAATTTATTTAGCTATATGGGAAAAATACCCGGTAACATTATGCAATAAACTCAGTATATAGCTATAGAGAGAAAGTTAATAACGCACGCAAACTTACTCCAAAATAACACCATATGTGTTCATTAATATTTGTACATCAAATTGCAATATTGACATATTGTATACCTGTATACGTCCTTGTTAAAACTAATTATTGAAGATTTGATCACTTTGATAGGCCACTAATCTAAATACCACATGTTAAGATAGTCGGTAAGATAAATTCGTTACACAGTGTGCTAGTGACCTGATACGATATATATGGGGTCAGAAAATTCCATATGGGGATTCGAGCTTCGCTCTCACCCTATATGGAATTTACTGATCCCATATATATCGCATTAGGTCACTAGCACACTATGTAACTAATAATATCATTACATGCCTCACGAATTCACCCCGTCGAAAACTGAGGACGGGTGTTCGAGAAAACAGAGCACTAGGAACGTCTGCTTCTGTTCGCTGGAAATAGAGTATGGGTCGATACCTTCCATGCAACACATTATTTGGTGATAATAATTCTCAAAAAATAAAATTTGATACTTAAACGTACTTACCTGTTTTTTGTTTTTTTTTTGCTTCGAAACCGCACTCCGTGTCAATCATAGCCAACACCCCACATGTGGCGTTCTACACGGTTATGTGTCCACTAGATAACAATAGGGTTTTGTTGTAAATAAAAATCATCCCAATATCTACTAGATTTCTGTGGTTACTAACCAATGCCATTACACCCTTTTCAAGACATGGCACCGACACAAAAAGGAAGCACTTTGAGGAAACATTATTTGTGACACCGTATTTATGCAACTCATCCACGTTGTAACGTGTCAAACCTACAGAGACCTACAGATACAACATGACTAATACATAGAGTTTGCACCTAATTAATGAATATTATGCACAGTGTCAATAACAGTATCAGAAGTGAGAATTTAAAATGTGATTGCTTCCACGCGTTACAAAAAAAAAAACAAGAAGATGTGGTATTTGCCAATAAGAGAACTTTCCACCAGTGATCAAATGACTTAGAAGTTAGCAACACAGGCACTTGTTTCTATCCATGGGAAGGTCGACTATCCATATATATGGATAGTCGACCTTCCTATGGATAGAAACAAGTGCTTGTGGTAAGCAACTATAGATCACCGTATTTAGGTACAAAACAATAAACGAAAACAAAATTATAACAAACAGCAACACAAAACAACCACAGGTTGCAGGCTTCTGACTTGGGACAGGCACATACAGAATGTTGTGAGGTTAAAATTGTTTGCTGGCATCAAACCGTCCCCCTAACCTGAAACAATGCATGAGACTGGCATCAAACCGCCCCCTAACCTGAAACAATGCATGAGACTGGCATCAAACCGTCCCCCTAACCTGAAACAATGCATGAGACTGGCATCAAACCGCCCCCTAACCTGAAACAATGCATGAGACTGGCATCAAACCGCCCCCTAACCTGAAACAATGCATGAGACTGGCATCAAACCGTTCCCCTTACCTGAAACAATGCATGAGATTGACTTCGCGTACATAAAATTTAATCCAATACGTAACACAACAATGCAACACGCAATCCATATCTCTGCTAATATTGATAATAATTTACATTTTTGGTGATCAACCAATCTTTAACGAACGCAACAATGTTTTCAGGGTGAATAGTATGTACATGTACAACAGAGACGCTTTGAAGATTGAACTAGTTTTTCATTCTTAACGATTCAAATTAAGAATATTTTTTTTTCAACTGTACAGCATATTTGTGTAAGTCACCTCAATAGTAGTACTATTAACCAGTTAACATTTGCACTTTTCAGGTTCAGTTTTTATTGAGCCGCTAAACAATTTCCAAACTAAATTAAAACGATGCTGTTCATATAGTGGTAGCCTTGTATTTGATTATATTTTGATTGAATATATTTTGATTTTGAAAGTGGACATGAAGAGACTTTGTTGCATCTTGTTCATGATGGTCATTGAATGTTTTGCTGGTGAACTAGTATACACAGACTGCAGTAAGTTTTAAAATCTTGAGCGGAACTCAACAGTTTTCAGTACATTACAAAAAGTTTTATTGAGATAATTTTGTTTTTTACCCTACAAAATGCTAAATACATTCCGAATAGTTGTATAGATATATAAATAGGGAGAATGATGTGGTTTGATTGCTAAAGAGACAACTATTCACCAGTGACCAGACCAAAGGATGAAAATGTCTGGTATGACAAAATGTGAAAAACATTAAAAAAACAAATAAAATCAACGGCCTGATTTCTACCAAAAAATAATGAACGAAAAACAAACGACATACTTCAGAATAAGAACAATATGGGTGGAACGTAAAATCATATATCACTATAAATTATACAAAATTCCACCTAGATTTATAACTGAAGTAAGAAACCTGACTCAAGTTTGCAGCCAGTTTTAGTAACTTTCTTTTTGAATGTCTATAAACAAAAGAGATTTTTCATTGTTTAAAATTAAATTATCGAGCGTCCACTTTTGGTGATTTTTCATCCAATCTCAAAAAAAAAAATACAATTGCTCTTCAAGTTTGAAACAGATGACGGAAACACCATATATATATACATATATATAAACAAAGATGAATAATTAAAAAATGAATAAATATCATACGTAAACTATCTTCACACCACATTGCTGATAACCACGTTTTGTTTTATCAGACAAGAACCAGCACGTGCTGCATGTCAGTTCTGCGAGCTTGAGCCCATACCCGCCAAAAGTACCTGGTAACCTGACAGTTTCCGGTCAACTTGAACTTGGCAAAAATATATCCGGTAACATTCAACTTGACGTCAGCATTCATAAGAAGGAACTTTTTCTCTGGATCCGTGTCCCTTGTGTATCTAACGTTGGAAGTTGGTAGGTTGTATATATAATTTTGGTATAATTGTTTTGTTACAGAAAATATTTGATTGGTTTTAAGTTTGTATAAAACTAGAAGTTTATAAATCTGTTAAGCAATTGTTTCATTTTGAAAATATTGATAAATCAATTTAGGACATGTCTAACGTGAAAACACATTTCTGTACCAACTATTGGTAGGACGTCTATAGAATCCACTAATATATATATATAAATATAATTATTTCTGTGACTGTATCTTGCATTAATTTGTAGGATCCTTTACAATAGATATATATTTCAGCTGATCTGTAACAATTCCATCGTCATGCCTTATATATCATGTACTGTATTACAACGCTAGATTAAAACTGACGAGGAAAGGTAACACCCGGCCACCGAAAGCTTTATTATGTGAAGCCTAGGTGATCGTGTGGTCAAGCGCGTCGGATACAGTGCAGGCGATTTGGTGTCACGATATCTCAGTAGCATGAGTTCGAATCCCGGCGAGGGAAGAACAAAAAATTTGCGAAAGCAAATTTACAGATCTAACATTGTTGGGCTGATGTTTAGACGAGTTGTATATGTATATATATATATATATATAAACAATATGAGGGTCTGGATGGGGTTTACAGAATAGAGAATAATGAGCAAAAAGTACAGAATACATGGCTAAAAACAGACTAGACAAAAATAAACAAACAAAAACAAAAGAATAGAAAATAATGGGGGTAATAAAATAAAAAGAATATACAATTTATAAATGGCTGAAAAAATTAAAGAATACAGAATTGAAGGACCCCAAAACAAAACACATGATTATGAATATTAAATACTAATACCGTATCATGGTGTTTACTTGTAGCACGTATGATTTCTGCAGCTTGTTGGCTTCAAATTTCGTTAGCAACGGGAAAGCATCATGTCCTCCTGATCTGACAGCACAGAAATTCTCCTGCACATGCCCAATACAAACTGGAACATACACGCTTAAACCAGTCGTAATACAAATTCCAAAAATATCAAGCATAGTTTCCGATCTGATATCGGTGAGTTTAAAATTAATGCTATTAATATTTGCTATCATGTACATGTAATTCACTCTCACGACCTGTTATATTCCGACATATCTATTGAAGCCCTTTTCTTTACCATGTTATGAATGTTGTTCGGAACGAGTTAAAGTTTATTATCAATTGAAATATTTATTTTTTCCTTTGATTTTTTTCCCCTCAACATGTTCAATAAAAAGCTTCTAGTGGTACAGTTAAAGTCGTCCTCATCAAAAGTTGTACGGAAACTATCATGATTTGGTTGACTTTTAGTGAAAATCTACATACGCCACAGATAATCATTGACATGCTCTAAATGCGTTACAAATCCTCTTTCCCTGTATTATGATTTCTCCGAATGAGACTTATCACTATGAGCAACGCAACGGGTGTCCAAATTATGTAAAGCAGGGTCTGCTTACCTTTAGAATCACTGATTTTTTGGGGTTCGTGTTGCACCGTCTTAGTTATCAATATAGTATTTGCAGACTTAAAGACTTTTGAATTTTAATTGATCCTTTGGAATTTGCTGCCTCTTTTTATGACATTTTGCTGTCGGTAATTTAGAATACTGATTTAAGGCAAATAGGGTGGGTTTGTAGTTTGATTGCAGTGCAATGTCCGACAACAACATATTTGAATTATTTATTGCATTCAAGTATGGTTGTTGACACACACTAGTTAATAAATTAATATATATGACGAAATTTGCTAAAAATAAATGGCATTGTAAATATAGATTGGTTACGTCCTCATTGGAAGATATGAGTGTACATATTTGATTATTCTTGTAAATAAGAGTAATATATTTACCATTCCTTTTTAATTAAGTCTCCCAAACGAAGTTTGGGAAGACTTATTTGGTTTTGCTCAGTTCTTCTTATTCTTCTTCTTCTTCCGCCGCTTTTAAATTTGAACTTGTCCGCACCCGTTCTCCAAAACCGCTTGTCAGATTAACTTAGGGTTTCACAATATGTTAGACTAACATGTCTAGTGGTGCAATCAGGGTTTTGTTTGTGCAATGGGGTTTATAAAGGGGTACTTTGAGGGGCAAAAAGAAAGGAGGGTTTTACTATAGAACCCTATGGGATTTTATTTTTTTAAATTTTCAAATGATTATAAATTGAAAACCGTTTGTGATACACAATCTTTTTATTTGAAAATGTTCCAAATGATAAAGCACATTAAATGAAATACAGGGCTAGTCCCCAGGGGTCACCCACCCCCTGCCATTTAAGAAAGTTCTAATATCTTGTAAATGGTCGAGATCCCCACCCCTAAATCATATATATTCTGGTTTGTCATGCCAAGATGGTTTGAATGATATACAGGGTTAGTCCCCAGGGGTCATCCCGACCCCCTGCCATTTGAGAAAGTTCTCATATCTTGTAAATGGTCGAGATCCCCACCCCTAAACCATATATATTCTGGTTGATCATGATAAAGCACATCAAATGAAATACAGGGTTAGTCCCCATGGGTCACCCCACCCCCTGCCATTTAAGAAAGTTCTGATATCTTGTAAGTGGTCAAGATCCCCACCCCTAAACCATATATATTATAGTTTGTCATGCTAAGATGGTTTGAATGATATACAGGGTTAGTCCCCAGGGGTCATTCCGACCCCCTGCCATTTGAGAAAGTTCTAATATCTTGTAAATGGTCGAGATCCCCACCCCTAAACCATATATATTCTGGTTTGTCATGCCAAGATGGTTTGAATGATATACAGGGTTAGTCCCCAGGGGTCATCCCGACCCCCTGCCATTTGAGAAAGTTCAAATATCTTGTAAATGGTCGAGATCCCCACCCCTAAACCATATATATATTCTGGTTAATCATGATAAAGAACATCAAATGAAATACAGGGTTAGTCCCAAGAGGTCACCCCCAGCCCCTGCCATTTAAGAAAGTTCTAATATCTTGTAAATGGTCGAGATCCCCACCCCTAAACCATATATATTCTGGTTTATCATGCCAAGATGGTTTGAATGATATACAGGGTTAGTCCCCAGGGGTCATTCCGACCCCCTGCCATTTGAGAAAGTTCTAATATCTTGTAAATGGTCGAGATCCCCACCCCTAAACCATATATATTCTGGTTTGTCATACCAAGATGGTTTGAATGATATACAGGGTTAGTCCCCAGGGGTCATCCGGACCCCCTGCCATTTGAGAAAGTTCTAATATCTTGTAAATGGTCGAGATCCCCACCCCTAAACCATATATATTCTGGTTTGTCATGATAAAGCACATCAAATGAAAAACAGGGTTAGTCCCCAGGGGTCACCCCACCCCCTGCCATTTAAGAAAGTTCTAATATCTTGTAAGTGGTCAAGATCCCCACCCCTAAACCATATATATTCTGGTTTGTCATGAAAAGATGGTTTGAATGATATACAGGGTTAGTCCCCAGGAGTCACCCCCATCCCTGCTATTTATGAAAGTTCTAATATCTTGTAAGTGGTCAAGATCCCCACCCCTAAACCATATATATTCTGGTTTGTCATACCAAGATGGTTTGAATGAAATACAGGGTTAGTCCCCAGGGGTCATCCCGACCCCCTGCCATTTGAGAAAGTTCTAATATCTTGTAAATGGTCGATATCCCCACCCCTAAACTATATATATATTCCTGTTTATCATGTCTCGAAAATTTGAATGACGTATACGGTCAGTCCCCAGGGGTTCCCCCCACCCCCAATGTTCTAATATCTTGTAAATGGTCGAGATCCCCACCCCTAAACCATATATATTCTTGTTCGTCATGTCTCGAACATTTGAATGACGTATAGGGTCAGTCCCCAGGGGTTCCACCCACCCCCAATGTTCTAGTATCTTTTAAATGGTCGAGATCCCCACCCCTAAACCATTATATTCTGGTTTGTCATGCCAAGATGATTTGAATGATATACAGGGTTAGTCCCCAGGCATCACTAATGCATATAACTTTACTGGACCAAACCAATTTTTACTGGACTTTGTCACTAATGCATATAACTTTACTGGACCAAACCAAATTTCACTGGACTTTGTCCAATGTCAGGCGACCCTGGGAATTACGAATTATGGGAGATTCGTTTGGGAGACTTCGTAACAGCATCCTGTTACAATCATTTCTTGTTTCATTATTTTCACAGGGAGACTACAAAGTTGTTGCAAAACTTGTAAACAAAGATACAGGAGAACAGATAGGATGTTACCATGTTGAAATAACTTTAGATCATTCCTGTTCAGGCTTTGGATGTATTCTTGGATAATTTACTGCTATCAACTGAATCAATATGTTTATCTTATTGTTTAATGAATCTAAATATAGATAATTTAATTCGAGGAATCTTATTTATTCTAACTGCCACAAATATGAAGTTCAAGATTTTGAAAAAAAGAAATTGTACCGAAATGTTACATTTTTCATTCAGGGTCTCTATGTGAATAAAGACACTAACTATTCATACTAAAAAGGAGAAGATACAAATTAGAACTATCAGTAGAAGAAATATAGACAACATACATGTCAAAAAAGAAAAACAACAGACCACTTAACACTACACAGAAAATTATTGATTTCGCATGACGTTCTCAACGAAACCCAGATTGAACTCAGGTGCTCCGGAAGGGCCAGTAGTTCAATAAGATAATGTGGGCAAAATACGTAGAATCAGCTTCAGCATATTTTTCATATTTAATTTGTGAGTTTAACGCACAAATCTCTTTAAATTTTAAGTCGTTCTTTTTTTAATATTCTAAGTGTGTCTCATTGGGGAATAAGTTTGATGCGATTGGCCGATTTTTTGTAAACGTGACACGTGAAACGTCTAATTATTTTGCGTGAAAATGGAAAACGGAGTCATGCAGGACACGTGAAATTACAAGCGCTATTACAATGATAAGCGGAATACGGGATTCTGACAAAACAATAAGCGGGATTCGGGAGCAAATTTTCTACTGAAAAATGGAAGTTCGGACTGAAAGGAAATTTGCAATTATAATTAAATTAAAATATAGTACAACTACAGTATCGGAATTTTGTAAACTCGGAAACACAACGGTAGATATTGGAATCTTAATTTTATTGGTTGATTTTTCGATTGCTAAAACATTCAAAACATAGTTGGGAAACTATGTAAATCTAAAGAATGTGATCAATATCAGCTGATTTAGTGATCTAAGATATTTTTCATTATGCACCCACAAGGCTACTTGCGATGTATAGAATTGGACCCTGTTTCTTTGACTGAGTGGTCCGACTCCCTTCAAGTGGCCTCTCAAGGGACACCCGATTGGCTGTGCTAGATATAAATGGCATGCCATGTCCGATAAAAAATGGGTACTATAATTATTTACCGATGCCTCATGTTGGTAAAGTGTCATGCTCTTTACATTTATGGTATGTAAGTTGTTTGTTTTAAAAAAGGTAAAATTTCAACCCCAATCCAACTGACCCTTTTCTTTCAGTCATCCAATTTCCCACTTTCATCCAGAAAGAACAATTTTCCAATAAAGGAATTGATGCTATCAACATCAGCAACGTTCTTCATCAAAAAGAGGTAACATCTAAAATTGCACTTTATATTCAAAATCAGTCTGTTACTATTTTATCCTACAGTTACACCAAAACCATTGCACCTAAAATATCTAACTATAAGCAAGCATTGCAGGACCTTAATTTAGAAGAATACCTAAAAAAAAAACCTCTGACATGTGATTGTTCCCCCTCGCCTCATATATACAGCCCCTCTGACCATGTTATTACTGAGTTATTACTAGGTGAAATATCATCGTCCTAAGTTCAGAAACCCTCAGCACATCAATTGGAACCCTAACTTCAAAATAATTATGGATATCATTGAGGACTACGCCAGAGCATGGGCTAAACGAGAAGAAGTTGAACTGGACACTTTGACAGAATGGGTCAAAACAATCAGGTCTCTAATAAAACGTCGAATTCATAAGTTAAAAAACTGTGTGAATGATCGACCAAAGTCCGTTTTCAGAGACAAAGAAGCTATGAAATGTCTATCATCTCTTCACGATAAATATGTTGTTCCTGCGAACAAAACTTCAAATAATATTGTTTTGTATGTAAGTCGTACTACTACGAGTGTCTTGTAAAATAATTAGAAATGAATGATCACATACAAAAACATATCATTTGACAAGGATAAGATTTTGGCTAATCAGTAAGTCCTTCATGGCTTCAATGAACATTACATTGAACAGCAAATCTGAGGACTTTACCTTGTTTGTATTGGATACCTAAACTTCACAAAATTCCGTACAAACAACGGGACATTGCCGGCTCATCTGCATGTTCTACAAAGGAATTGTCCATTAGATGTAGACTTTTTCAACAAATTGTCGACATTTCTATGGGAACGAACTGTGCGCCTTTCCTTGCCGACCTCTCCTTATTTTCATATGAGTCGGATTTCCTTCAGACACAAGATCAAAGAAGCCAGATCCTTTAATTTCACATTCAGATATATTGATGATGTTCTTTCCGTTAACAATCCGAATTTTTCTGTTTGGGTTCCATTAATATATCCTCCAGAATTAGAAATTAAAGAAAGTTAACAACAGACACGGCTTCCTCCGCCTCTTTTTTACACTTATACATCGAAATTGACATAAGCGGTCGTCTCAGTAACAGAATCTATGACAAACGAGACGATTTTAATTTTAAAATTATAAATTTCCCCCACCTTAGCAGCAATATACCAACTTCTCCTGCATATGGGATATACATTTTCAAACTCATTCGTATTGCAAGCTTAAGAGCTTGCAGCTGCTACTCAGACTTTATAAAACGTCACCAGTGTCTGAGCAGAAAGTTGATGAACCAGGGTTATGTCAAAGAACGCCTCGTCCTTTTCTTAAAAAAGTTCATTGAAAGATACCAAGACCTTAAAATTGTTGATAAATATTCTGTATCAACTTAAAAAATAACACATGATGGTCTTGAAGTATTGATTCTAGGTACTGACGTTGTTTTTCATCTTAATTACGCGTTATACCTCTATTTGTTCTTTTTTAGTCCATTTTTGGTAACATACTTTTGGCGTGGCTCGGTATTGATACATCCCGCAATTTTGTTATTGTGCTATGGTCATTTTTGTATTCTCGTCTTTCATTTTTGCTTATGTACTTGTCTATAGAGTGTCTATATGCCACTTTGCTTTTCTTTGCTGAAATAGTTATTTGTTTTTATAGTGGTCAAGATTATAACACACCGCAATCTGCTGTACCCCAATTTTTGACATTTTTACCTATTATGTCTGTTTGATTTGTTCACACACTGTTGTCAATATAATGGAATTATATGCGACTGTCATACAAGTTAGAGGTTTAGCTAGCTAAAAAACCAGGTTTAATCCACCATTTTCTACATAAGGACATACGATTGAGAATGGAAACGAGGAATGCGTCAAAGAGACAACAACTCGACCAAAGAGCAGAAAACAGCCAAAGGCCACCAACGGGTCTTCAACACAGCGAGAAAATCCCGCACCCGGAGGCGGACTTCAGCTGACAATAATGTATACTAGTTAAGCGAAAATGGACGTCACACAAAACACCGAAACATATAAATTAACCAAAGTTAAAAAAAAATACATACAAGACTAACAAAGGCCAGAGGTTCCTGATTTTGGACAGGCGCAAAAATGCGGCGGGGTTAATATAAAAATTAGGAGATGAGGTATGATTGCCAATGAGACAACTATCCACCAAAGTTCAAATTAAGTGGATGTAAGCAATTATAGGCAACCGTACGGCCTTCAACAATGAGAAAACCCAATACCGTATAGTCGGCTATAAAAGGCCCCGACATGAAAAATATGAAACAATTCAATTGAGAAAACTAACGGCCTAATTTATAACAAAACAATTAACGAAAAACAAATATGACAGACATGAAGCAACGACAACCACTGAACTACAGGCTCCTGACTTGGGATAGACACACAAATAATGTGGCGGGGTTAAACATGTTTGTGAGTGCTCAATTCTTCCCCAACCCTCAATGACAATAATCAACATAAATTAAAAAGGACTACTAGCAGTTACTGATATGCCAGCACATCCTCAATTAAACTGATTGAAATATTATGTCTTCATCCTATGAAAATCAAGCACAATCCCTCCCGTTAGGGGTTTAGTATCATACCATCATAAAATATACGATATAAGAACATAAACCGTATGCCTGTACCAAGTCAGGAATATGACAGTTGATTTCCATTCGCTTGATGTGTTTGAGCATTGATTTTGCCATTTGATAAATGACTTTCCGTTTTGAATCTTCCTAGGAGTTCGGAATGTTTGTTATTTTACTTTTTGCAACCTTATAAATGTATCCAATTGTTAAATAAATTTGTTCTCTTCCTGAATATGCACGAAATATTTGCCATACAATAATCAATCGTTCGATAACTAACTGTGTCATTGACACGGTTAACATTATCTGCACACATTTTAATGTCGGACATGGATTTCTTATAATCAGGTATTGTCTTAATTTGATGCGATCTTATAGACTAGAGATTTGCAGATTGACATATGGGAAAGATACATTTCTCATGATTGTTATTTAATATATCATGATGTTTTCTATCTTTTTTCTTCCATCTCGTTGAACAAATATATATCCTTTTTTTTTAATTTATTTTAGAAATCAAAATTTGCACTTTTATCTGAAAATAACTCGTAATTACAAAAGATAATCTTATTAGAAAAAGGTATGATATTCATGATATTTTCTGTATCATTTCTTAATTTCTATGAGTTATTGTTTTTAGAGAGGAGCAAAATCAAGATCCTGTCTGTCACATTGGTATGTCGTTAATGATATTGTTATAAATAAAGCCGTTTAACTTAGTTTTCTCGTTTGAATAGTTTCAAATTTTTATAGCTTCCTCATTGTTGAAGTTCGTAAGGTGGCCTAAAATTGATTACTACCACTTCATTTTAACTCTGGTGGATGATATACGGGGTGCTAGATAGTTACGATTTTACTACATGTGCATTTCTTGCCAGAAAGAAAGCAGTACAGAAGTTTGAATAAAGATAAGGAGTTTCATATAACAAAGTTAAAGATAAAAGCAATTATGGGTCACCATATGGCCTTCTATTTCTGTATCAATAGAGTATTAAGTAAAAAACACATTTAACGTAATTGCAGGTGGATATGTTTTCTTATTTCTTATGCAGCAAAAATACTGCAATCTGATTGGTTAATTACCCCGGTGTAAAAAACACCCCACCCTTGTTCACCCCGGGATAAATAAAATTTTGCAAAAAAATTTAAAAAAAATTAAATTTTG